ATCGAATGCTACCAAAACTAATGCACCATTATAACCTTCTCATTACTAAAAGAATTTAATCATCTTGGCAAAAAGATATTAAAAAAAAAAAAAGAAAAAGAAAACTTGCTTACCGAAAAATAAATTGTTTGACCGATATAACTTAAATTAGTAAAATAACATAAATAACATTCCACATCATTACCAAAATGATACTGTGTAAGGACTTGAGGACGTAATCCATAATCTAACAGCTCTCCAATTACAATAATCCAAGAATAAATTGTCACCACAAGGCGAAAAATTTTTAATGTTTTAGGACTTACGAACCAAGAATTAACTGTTAAATGTGGATCAAATTCACCCCAATGGAAAAAGTTCATTTTTGAATTTTACAAGAGACGAAAAAAATATGAACAATATATAAATATATTTCATCAATGAAACTTGTCGTACGCATTCATGTTACGAGTTATTACAACAAAAATAAACTGTTCATCATTGAAATAATGTTACACTTACAAATTAACTTATTTAATTATTTGCTTGAGATCTATATCAGTAATATTCATGACTGCACAATGACTGAATACAAAACAATAGGCATATAGGTATATAGTATTGGTAACTCTTTTGCAATGGAATAATATGCCAAGAAACCGTATACCTTATATATTGAATAAAATTCGGATATTTTCAATAAGCTAAATTTATCGTTTTTCATTAATGGAGATTATTTACTCGAAGAAACAATTGAATTATTACAGTGTGTCATGAAGGGCTGTCAATAACGATTGATAGATTTATCCTATTTCTAGTGAAAAAAAGCTTAGTTTTACTTATTGATGTGTTATTTTTATAAAAGATTTAGATATTTAAATTTCATGCACTGTAGCATAAAATTTGCAAAAAGAAAAGTTTTTTTTTAGTCTTTTACCTATGTCTGCTTTCACCCTGATATTAAAGGAATTTGCTAATTTGCTAATATTAACACAAAACGGAACATTTAGAGAAATTAACTGTTTAAGTACGTACGCATCACACTATAAGTAACTAATCTGGGACTGTATTACGATAGTGTGTAACTTTAATGCTAATTAGCATTACTGTAATTGTTATTTTTTATGACAATCATAAATATACGGAATCCAGCGCATTTTTGTATCAGAGGACATTCAGCTTCGATTCCAATATTTAAAGATAATGTTTTAAATCGATCATTTTCAGATAAGGATAAATAAAATTTATTAAATATTATAATATAAACAATAATAGAAGTGATTATAACCATAGATAATAGTACAGCAGATACCTTGCAATCGACCACAAGACATGCAACTTTCTCTTTAGAAGAGAATCATCTGGCATCCGGGCATTAGTTTACCCGTCACACATATGCATCACACTAAGACCCTAGCGTCACCAACGTAAAAAAATTTCGCCATTAGCACTATCGTTAGTGTTTAGGTGCTTTATTGTTTGACTTATGTTACACTTGATAATTCGACCAGATAACGAAGTTTTTTAGGTTGGTAACCAAATAAACTTTTAATTAAATTCCTATATGTATTAACCATTTTATGCATCTAACCACGACAATATTTCAATACTGCGATACTGCAATAAAATTATTCAAAAATGATCCGCACTTTTTTATTCTAAATTTGGTACGAGAAAAATTATACAAATGTATGCTGCACGATCGATTGATGAGCATAATAAAATTTTAATTTTCATACGCAAACTAAGTGACCTGCATAACCTATGTATCATGGATAATTTGAGCTGCATTTATGTAAGCTGATCCGAAATACGTATAAAGGCATTATAAAAATTTTTCCAGCTAAAATCTGGAGAAACACAATCATGACTCTAAATTTTATCTATGAAACTGCCTTCTGCGTAATAAAGCAAAAAGTATGTGTCTATTCTAGTGTTCCGAGTTGATTAAAAATTTCCAATCGATTAGTTGTCTACTTAGTTGTCGATTAGTTGCAACTAATAGTAACATGTTTTCAATAAATTTGATTGGCATAATAAATAATCACGTGTTTTTGTATCATTTTAAACCATTCTGATTGGCTAAAAAAAATTATACACCTTAAATTTATTATGTAGATAATTAACCAACGATTACTAGTTGGTTTTTCAACTAACAATTTGGATCACTAGTCTGTTCCTAAGTATAAGTGTATATATATATATATATTTATTTATTTATTTATTTAAACAGGAAAAAAACTAACGTTACATACTTATTATATCTTGCCTTTATGCATTTGTCTTCCAAATATTGTTTTTTTAGTATCGATATTTTTCATCAGGCTGATGAAATGTAATTAGTTGTCATAAGTCATAACAAAAAAAAAAAAAAAAGGATATAATTTTTTATTTTTATTTAAATCAAATATGAGTTAAATATGACACTGTTATCGGACAAAATCGAAAATCAAACTTAGTTTCGACATTCATCAAATAAAATTTTAAAATAAAAAAAAAACTTTAGGAATTGTCAAAAGGTTTCTAGTTGTTACGTAAAACTGTTGAAAATAGTAGGGTTTTCAACATTAGGCAAAAATGGTTACTCTGGAAAGAAAAAATACAAATGAGATAAAAAATATTTGGTAAACTCTGAGATGTTCTGAAGATAACCTTCCTAGAACCTCTCTAGCATCGCCCAAAGATTAGTTACGTACCAGAATTTAAAATATACAGTCAGACCTCGATATAATCACCAGGTTGGGATACAAAATTTTGTGATTATAAAAAGTTGTGACTATATAAAGGTCAAAATTTATATGTTTTATAATAGATAGATCAAAAAAATAGTGTGATTATAACAAGGTTGTGACTATATTGAGAGTGACTATAACGAGGTCTGACTGTATACTGGAATTTAAAATTAAATACTGACATGCAAAAAGCGATTGATACTAATACTGTAAAACTCATCGATATAATTTTTTTTTTTTTTTTTGCAAAAAAAGCAACATGTAAATTGAATTGTTATTTAATTCTCGCTATATACATATGTATATCTTTTTTTACTAATGTTACATTAATTAAATTTTATAATGAAAATAAAACTATTGCCAATAAAAAGTATTCGAATTATGTCCATTCCATGTTTTTCTCAAAGTTTTTGCAGCTTCAAATTCTTTTAAGTCATTTACCATTTTTTTAATAGAACTCAAGTTTTTTTCAATCGCATTTAACCATTTTCTCTGTTGAGGAAGAGTTTCTGATTTTTCAATGTATTTTATCAGCTATGAATTAATATTATTAAGAATATGCAAAAAAAATAATAATTTAAATAACTTATAAAATAACAAAATAGATAATAGCACCTTTGCTAATATTTCTTTTAACTCAATTGCCTTATTATTTGTAATGTCAACATTACTGGCATTTGAATTATATTCATCTATACTTAAATCTATTAAATACATCTCAGCTTTCTCATAATCACAATGTTCTATTTTGGGATTAGTCAATGCATTGGGTAAATCATTCTTGATAGTTTGCCAAATTGTTTGTTGGGCTTCATAGAGAAATAGATATTTATTATTGTGTTGAACCTTTTTAAAAAAAGTGTTATCCATATTTCCTAGTGGCGAAACTAAATGTTTGCAAAGTGCAAACTGATGTTTAAGAAATATAGGGCCTGAGCAAACCCAATTAGCATGATTAGTGAAATATTTGTTAGAATTTTTTATTTCTCAGTTTGCAAACTTTTTCCACTTATTTGTAAAATCTTTTTGCCAAGATGATTAAATTCTTTTAGTAATGAGAAGGTTATAATGGTGCATTAGTTTTGGTAGCATTCGAT